GGCTTATCAAGAATTTCATGTGGATTATTTTCACTCCAAAAACCACAATTTTGGTTATTCACAAAGCCATTTAACCAAAAATGAGCTTCATTGGAAAAGATTATTTTTTTGAAAAAATCGCCACCATTTTCGAGTTTTTCTAGAGCCCAATCAGCGAACAGAAGACGCTTATTATGGTCAAGTGGCTTCAGTTCTTGAGTCAGAACAATCTTGTAAGGGTGTAGACCTAAATCTTTTCTCAGAACTCACCAAGTTGTCATTCTGGTGAGTCCAAGTTCTTGAGAACGACGATTTACGGACACATTTGCATTCTCCGCTACACTGGCTCTTACAGCAGCAATATTGTCCTGAGTTCTTGCATTTTGGCGTCTAGTTGGTAGTTTCGTATCGTGCAGAGTAAATTCACGTTCAAAATTTTTCATGATTCGACAACTTACACGTACATCAGGACGATGATTTGGTCGTAATGCACGATAGGTATTCACAAAAGAACGATTAGTAGCATAAAATTTTAGGATAATTTCCAAACGTTGTTCAAGCGTATATATTGCCATGGTAATATGTTAGAGTATACTAAATACAAACGTCAACAAGTGACAGTTCTACCATTTTCAAAATGGCCGTTATGACATTTCAAAAACAGGACGTCCCTATTGGGAAACCCTTTATTAAAGATGTCTGTTAGTCTTTGGAGCTCGTCTTCTGTCTCGGCGATTAATGCGGCATAACATAATATTTTGATTTCTTTGTTTCCCATTTTGTAACCATGACTTTACGTACTACTTGTATTATTTCGTCCATTATTATAATATATTAAAGATAAGTGGGCTTGTAAGACTCCGCTTTGTACTAGTATACACTGTGTTAGTTTTCCATTTATCTTTGCCTGTATTCAATTATGGAAGTAGCTGTTTTCGATGGTTTGTATAATATTGTATGGTATGTTTCTTAAGATTTCTACCGAAACATTTCTCCCAAAGTAAAATACATACGCCAGTATAGAAGCTTCGTTTCAAAAATCCCGCAGGTTTCTTGTGCCGTTTTTCTTTTACTTGATGTAAGTGCTAAAAACTAAAATTCCTTTTCTTTTCTTTTCTAAAAGGTTCCTGTTCTTTTTCTTTTTCTTCTAAAAACGGGAAAAATTATTGCAAATTCACGAAGCTGAGATCAAATAATAATTTAAATATGATTTAAACATTTCCTGAATATTTAAATAAAATACAATCGAAGAAAACTAAATTTCATAAAAAAAAACGTTTCTGGGGGAGTTAAACATTATTACTTAATATCAATTTAACTTGACAAAAAATAAAACATTACTAAACTTGAGACGAGTTGCTATGTAATACATCTCTAACTTTTAAAACTCGAACACCCGCTTTTAGCTGTGTTTTTTTCTATGATTTTATATGAGCTGAGAATACGACATAAAAACCGATAAAAGCATATTATCCTGTATGATAAAAACATCTTGAACACATTAGGTGTTATTTGATACCATTCAAAAATAAATTGTTTATGTATTATTGAGCAGACTCTTTTATTTTATTCCTATCTTACACAATGAAACAATAGCCTTTTAAAAATGAAATGAAAATTTCAAAATATAGTTTGTACTATAATAGCTGTACCATTTGATCATGATTTGATCAGATGATGTTATGTGCATATTCACTTAACAGGAGAGCCAAAAAACCGTTTATGGGAATTTGTGTTTAAGGTTTTACCTATGAATTAACAATTTTCTCAGAATATATAATATAGTAGTTGATGTAATGTATTATAATTTAATTTATGATCCCTAAATAGCTGAACAAGAGTTTAAAATTAGAAGAAAAATTTTAAAAAATGAAAATTATCATGTTTTGAAAAAATGATTATTGTTAAAGGATATCACTTATTATCTTCGTATGTTGGAATTAGTTGACTTTTTTTGAATTAATAACACTTAATTAGGACAAAAATATTTATTTATCAAAATATTTCGCACACAAAATGGCAATATATATATAAAAAATATCTTATTATTCATGGTTTTGTCGTTATTACTGCCAACGTCGTTCCTCGTCTTGAATACGGTAGGTTTTTATAAATGGGATGATAATGTGGGTCTATGAAAAGTAATAGACTTAAAATGTCCTTATATTTTTCTGGGCTAATTCGAATTTGCTGTTTTCCATAGGCAAGACAAATAATAATGTTTGACGAGTCGTAGTTACTCCTTTTTTCTCTTCTAAGATTAATAATTTTAAACGGTTCATGTTCAAGTAAACTGCGCTTATAAAATAGTTTTCCAAAGGATTTTTTAAGGATTTTTATCCAAAATATTTGGTTCCAGGAAACGCTTTCATTACCTTCATCTTTCGTCTTTCTAGCGAACAAACTAGATTTCAACAAATCTAAAAAGAAAAGAAATCTTCAGTTTTCAGTTCATATACCTTATATTTCTGACTACTCATCCTCACCAAATTATACCAGTCGTGATGCACACTAATTACCCCATCGAACTGTTTCTTCTTCCTCTATATATTGGCATGATCTAAGTCGCATTCTAAATGTGTATGTCCTGGAACCAAATATGTGTGATCTATTGTTGTTACAGAAGGTTTAATGTTAAATACTTAAGTATAGAGCAACCGAATAATATTATTACGATTTTGGCATGGGCATGTATCGCAATATAATATGATATGCTTAACCTCGTTGGATATATCCTGAATAAACTTCAGTAAACATAAAGTAATTTCTTTGGCTCCACGTTGGCCATTACCTTCTTGCCACATGAAGCAGTTTATAGCGTTCGAATTGAAATTCTTTACTGTGAAATTATATGTCTATAATTTATGTTTGTAAAAACTGATACTTGTATTTCAGCACGGTGTAGCAAGATATTTGTAATGAAAATCGGCCTTTTCTTTGTGAATATAATTTAGACAGGTAAGTATCACAAGTTTTACAAGTATAAGGCTTTTTGAGCTTTAGAAAAAATTCTAAAAAACATTTTTGGTGTATACTGAAACTTATGGGAGTCGACGATCTCTGTAATTCTGAAGGTATGCCATTGTCCTTATACAATTTGTACATATTTTCCAAATTCAGATCACTACCTAAATACTTTCTTGATGTTCTACGTCTCGAGTAATGACTCTCGTACGCCGGAAAGCTAGCAATTATGTTGACGAACTATACTAATATCTTCATCTGACCGGTTGTTGGAGGGAGTGTGCCTACCTCGTTTATCTCTCTGTATATTAGCAGTGAGAGCATTTTTCTTCTTTTAACAATTGCATTGATAAAACCTCTACCTTCAGTAAACATGGCTTGGAAGCAAGCCCTACATACTTCAACTTTTAAAGAATGTTGTGTGATAAAATATTTTGCTGTAACAGTTCTAATTCGGCATGATACTTCGGCATGATACAGGTAGCACACGCTTTGCTGAAACAAGTTCAATCAAAGAACTTAAAAATTGGCGTTGTTCATCCCGGGATTTCGATTTCACGAAGTTTCGATAGTCACGAAAATACATAATTTTTGTTTCACTTTCAATATGATTGTTACACTTAATTCGACAAGTAAACAACAGCATATAAAACCGTCTATGTATGTAAATAATACCAAACTTAAGTTAGTTGATAAAATCGTTTACCTTGGAAAGCAATTAAATTGTAACGCAGAAAGTCACGACAAAATTTGATCTAGGATAGAGCAGACTAGAGCTGCTTTTAAAAGGATCTCCAAGGTGTTATGTAACAGAGACCTAATATTGCCATTGAGAATCCGCCTACTTCGCTGCTACGTGTTCTCGATCTTACTTTATGGTGTCGAGTCCTGCACTGTGAATAAAATCGATCTAAATCGCCTTGAGGCTTTCAAAATGTGGTGCTATAGAAGTGTTTTTCTGGGTGGAGAAGATTCAAAAATTCCACAATACTAGAACGTCTCAGCAAGACTGCTGAGATCATAAAAAGCATCAAGCAGAGAAAGCTGGAGTATTTCGGACATGTAATGAGAGGTCCCAAATATAGATTGCTACAAAACATCATGCAAGGAAAAATAGCAGGCAAACGCAGTCCAGGACGAAGAAGAACCTCATGGTTGAAAAACTTGCGAGACTGGTATGGTGTTGATACAAGCATGCTATTTAGGGTGGCAGTGAATAAAATTAAGATAGCTATGCTGGTAACCAACATTCTGAAAGGAACATGGTACATCAGTAGGACCTGATAAAATACCTTTGGAGGTATTTGGAAGGCTTAAGGAAGGGATTGATATCTTGTGGCAAATGATGAGTAGGATATATGAGAAAGAAAGGATGTCCAGTGAATTGAGAGAATGTTTTATGGTATTATTATATAAAGATAAAGGCAACATTTAGGACTGTAAGAATTATAAAGGGATAAAGCTGGTGTTGCATACAATTAAAATTTAGGAGAGAATCGTATAGCAAAGGTTAAGAAGAGAGATATCGATAGTTGAACAGTTTGGTTTTAGCCAGAGAGAAGGACAACTGATGCCTTGTTTGCTTTAAGACAGTTGGTAGAGAAATACGGTGAGAAGAAAAGAATGCTACATTTGGTATTTATTGATCTTGAGGAGACGTACGACACAATTCCTAGACAAGAGCTATGGAGATATTTGATAGAAAAATGGGTTCTTGGAAAGTACATAAGACACGTGGCGGATATATATGAGGGAGCCTACACCAAAGTAAGTACTTTTTTTGTTTAGATAATTTTCTAGTCACGGTTGGCTTGCATTAAGGGTCTTCCCTAAGGCTCTATCTGTTTAAGCTTGTTATGGATGTACTGAGTGAGAAAGGAAGGGATGGGCCTCCTTGGTCGATGCTTTTTGCCAATGATATCCTGTTAGTAGAGGAGACAGTGAGGGCAGTATCGTGTTTGAAACAAGAAATTCTAAGATAAAATGAAAAACATACCAATCAATACTAAGTTTTTATTGCTAAGCAAATATAATTTACTATTACATATAAGTTGTATTCTAAGCCTTTTTGTTTTATAAAGAAATTTCATCTATGATGTTTCTTTAATATCTTCAACGTGTACGTACATCCTAAAACATTAACAGCATTTTAAGAAATGTCAGTGTTACTATTGAATTCTATAGGCATTATTTCGAATTGTCTAAAGGTGATTGACAGTCAGGTTTAGTGCATTCCAACCACGGATTCCAGCTATATTTAAATAATTGTGGATTGGCTTTTTCAATATCCGTTTCTTCTTCTACTTGGGTTACAAGGCTGCTTCTATAGTTCACTAACGCCCTCTTCATTTGTCTGACGACACTGGGGAAAAATTTCGCTAGGTCGTTTTCTTCACAGGGGTCACTTGGAATGTCATACAAGCAATAGGATCCACCTAAAAATAAACAATATTTCATAAATATCATATTAAAAAAAATGAATCTTAAAAAACTACAAAAAAATCAAATATACGGACGTAGTTATGCAAGAAGGAATCAACTACCAAAATACAAAATTTGATATCATGCTTGTATAGCATCAGGAAGATTCAAACTTTGTGTTTAGCAAAAAAGAACCAAAGGCTTCAACATCGATATTTGTATTATAACAGTTTGAATTAACTACCATTTACGTAACTATCGTTTTGAGATTTGCAATCAGGATCCAAACGCACAAAGTCAGTCGTGTATTTTTCTAGAGGGAACCAACTTCATCTGTGTTTACTAAAATGAATTAAAGGAGCCATATTGTATTTTACAAAAGATAACCAGATACTATATTGTTTATCTATGACAACCAGTGTTGTTGACTTGCTGCCTGTGCTTGTTGCTGTAGCAGTTTTCTGTTTACTGATATCTGTTTTTATTTAGTGTTAGTACAATTTAGTTTAAAAACACAATATCTTTCTCATTAAAAATATATTTACGATCACGAGGAAAAATGATGGTAGATATGTGATGCAGGAGAATAAAGCACCGTATTTTGAGATTAGTTTGTATTTAGTTTGCTCTACTCAGATTACTGGTACCTACTTATGGTTTTTTAGTAATCTTTTAACATTACTTCTTTATGTAATATTATCTATTGACTGTAGTATAAAAAAATTTCGGTGAAGAGGAAGGAAAATTCTAGGTGCACTACTGTTTGTCTTAAACACAAGAAAGTTTTCTTACTAGTTGATGGTGATTGGTTCTATATCACAAAAAAAGAATACAGAAATGTTGATAGCTAAAAGAACGTTTGTGGTTCCAGAAAAATGTCCTGCTCCCTGTTTTTAATGGTGAAAATATGGTTTCTACTAGTAATGAGGATAAAAACATTGTGATTTGATTTTGAAAATATTCCTGGTATTGACTTTGATGAAAATTTAGTCATTCATGAAGATATGATGATTTTTAATACAACATACAATAATGGTAGCAATATGATTCCTGTGAGTAATAATGATGAAAATGTAATGATTTCTGAGATTAGGCCTAATACTGTACTAATGAAAATTTAATAATTTTTCCTAGTACTGAAAATGAAAATTTAGAACTTCCAGTTCCTGACATAGAATCCTTAGTTCAGTAGAAGTTCCTTATACAGGTAGACCCAAAATGGGTAGGAAGAGAAAACATGGGAATATGAGCAGGAAGGACAGAAAACAAAGAAAAAATCTTAATAAATCTTATGTGAATACTAAAGGTGTTAGAGTTTATTCAAACTCATGTAAAGATTATATATGTAACTATCACAACAAAAGTTTTGAGCAAGTAAATGTTGAAGAAAGGAAAATTATATTTAATATATTTTGGGAGCTAGGGGATTATAACTCTCAAAATATAATGATTGGGATCACTGTTAAGGAATCTAAAGTTCTACGTCATAGAGGTAAGGTTATTCAGTAGAAAATATTATTTGGCTGAAAAGAAAGTATGTAGAATTTTTTTTTGTAAAAAGCTTGCGAATTTCCACTAAACGTATAGATACAGCACTTTAAAAATGCGTTATAACTCTTTCCTAGACAAAAGGGGCATTAAAGGGGAGCTCAATAAAATTTCTGATTCCCGAAAAAATGATGTAGTAGAACATATAAATAAATGTCCAAAGTACAAAAGTCATTACAAACAATTCTGATTCTTTGTACTTGCCAACAGATATTACGCTAACGAACATGTATAATTTATATAAAAATGAGTACAGCAACCCAGTGTCTTTCAGTAAGTATACACATATTTTTTACGGGACTTTAACAAACGACGTAAAGCACTCAAAAAGATACTTGCAATCAATATGACATACTTATTCTACATATTAATGGTGCGGAAAATAGTATTAAAGAATAAAAACTTTGGGAAAATCATGAGGAGCATGTGGCACTAGCAAACTTAGCTTAAGTTTTAATGAAAGATGAAGTTTGAAGTTTGCAAAAGAAAACAAGAGCTCAGATTCATTAACTTTTACCTTAGAGAAAAGGCTACCTATGCCGCGTATTCCAACTAACATCGTATTCTACAAAAGACAACTGATGTTATACAATTGCAGAATCCACAGTGGCAAGACTTTAAAGGGCTTTTGCTATGTTTTGGTAGAGAGACAAGCTGGACAGAGCACTGAGAAAGTTTCATCTTGTTTACGCAAGCATATTTTGGCTAATGTTGAATAGGATGTCACCAATTTGACACTATGAAGTGATTCATGTGGTGGCCATAGAAATATCAAGGTGGTTCTTATGCTGAAAAGTGTGTTGGAAGTCCACCATAGCCTTCAAAATATTACTATGAAGTTTGTAGTCTCTGGGCACAGCTTACTGCCAAATAACAGTAAATTATTTACGTCAGTAACATTTAATATTTGTTGAAATAAATCTGCAAAAACGATGAGTTGGCAGGTCCCCTTCCATGTAATCTTTGTTGAAAAGTTTCTGGCCAGAAGGAAAACCAATATCGCTTGAAAAGCTTAAGGATATCGCATAATTTCTTCATTTAATTCCGAATTATTGTAAAAATTTTTACCGTAATTTATTATCTAACGAAGAAATTGAAGATGAAATTGATGAGTACAATGGAACGCTGGACTTGATTGACTCAAATTGAAATTGATTAAAATACTATTCCATTATATTAAAATTGAAAAACAAAAACATCTTAATTTTTTCATTACTCTAGTATTGTTTTCATTACTCTACATTCTCTAGATTTGCCTTTATTTTTTACTTAGTTTTTCCTATTATTATTTTTAAATAATTACAATAAAAATATAATCTAAAGAAGTTTGTGTTTTTATTTTCCCATTATGAAATGTAATTAATTAATATGTATAATGCGCAAAAAGCAACCAATCACCATTTTTTTTTTGAAATGCCAAAGCTGTGTTATTTTATATTATGTTAGTTTAAGTATCAACAATAAAAATACTATCTATTTTCAACACAGTACAACTTTCAGAAGTCCAGAACAGCATCCAAGGCGACGAAGAATACTTCCGGTACGGCGAAGACAGCGTCGGTACTCACAATGAGCGGCTGAATTTTAAACTCACCAACCCGCCTTGCCAGCGTGGTGTTTTAAGGCAAATACCTTTTAGCGAGACTGAAAGAAAACTAATTGACTCGCGCTCACGAGAAGATAAACGCAGCAGAGGACGACCACCAACACGCTGGATGGACGACATTAGACGAATATCCAAAAATGGCAACCAGAAGCACAGAACCGCGAGGAGTGGCGAAAAATGGGAGAGACCTATGTCCAGCAGTGGACAGAAGAGGTTGCATGATGACAACTTTCAGTAAGATTGTAACTTGTACCTGTAATTTACAATAGATACCTTTGCGAAAATATCTCGCCTGAAAAACACACTGTTTGGAGTTTAGTCCTTCTTGTATAACTACGACCATATCATATTACTATTTTGTAGTATTTTGGTGTCTTTAAGGGGGAATTGTAGATGCATGTCGATGCATTCGAAGCAAGAAGCTTTGAATTTGCGGTTCATCTAACTCACTATCGAAGGGAGGTCTACCGATTTCTTGTTGCTTCGTATATATGTTGCACGTTATTATTATTATAATGGCCAAATACTAGACTACATTTCATTTCAGTTTGAATGTCCACACGTGTTCCTGATGAGAGTTGAATAACTCGATACACATGTAGAATAATGTTGGAATACTAATTGAAATAAAATGTAATATTTTATTTTCAATTTAACGTGTTTTCACTATCTAAAGAGTGAAAAAGATACTGTTTTCAAAGTTCAACTGTAAATGCATTCTGATAAAAGTTGAATAACTCGAAACACTAGGTACGCTCTACTAATAAAAAGGAAAAAGAACAAAATATCTATTGGATAATAATATCAATACAGTTCATAAACATTTTACTGTTCCTAATAGATAAATACTCTATTTTAATCTGTTCTAATCTGTTTTAATCTCTGTTCCTAATAGTAAACTAAATGTATTCAATTATTGTTCAAATAGTTGCTAATATAAACGAAAAAACGGAATAACATCTACATAGTTACTTATTGGACCAAACTAAGCAATACCCAAGTACGCCCACTATTTCTACAACGAATAAAATCCAGAATAATTAACCTGACGGACAACCTAAAATATTTTATTGCGTTCGATTGGTTCCTTAACTTATGACAAATTTTAACAAAAAAGGTGTAGATATTTTATGCTATTTGATAAGATTTGGATAGTGTTTCATAACAAAGGGTGAGTTTTATACATGAATGGTGTTTTAATAAAAATTAAATGGTGCGTTTAATTTATTTAAAATCTATATACAACCACTCGCACACCACAACTTAACGTAAATTGTTTATAATAAATCTAGTTTACGATTAAATATGCCTTTATAGTTTTCCTTGAAGCCAAAGTAAAAAAATATTATTTATAATATTTATAAAATGAAAAAATTAAATTTACTAAAAGTAACGACCTCTTAATGCATATAAGTAGACTTTTTGCTGAACATGAACTGTACATACATGAAAATGAACAGTGGAAAATGTGATCTTGTCAAAACGTCGTCAAAATAATGGTTTACTAAAAACCAAACTGATCAGTTCTCTTCGAACATCTCAAAAAAGTGAAACTAATCTGACTTGACAATGGTAAGTGTGACCTTGCCGGAACGTCGCCAAAATAATGGTTTCTTTAACCAATTAAATCTTTTTATATTTCAAAACCTTACAGTTTTTTGTTAAAACGAAATCCAAATATGGGTTAGACTTACCTACAGGATCACAAGGATTCTTTTTAGCATGACAGGATACAGTAGCTTTCGATCTAAGGTGCTCATACTCCTCAGGACTTAAAGGACTGTAATTGATTTTGTTTGCGACTTTTCCAGCTGGACTTTCAATTACTGTCGCCAAATTGTAGCTCTGGTCTTCAATATTTTCTAAAACTGTGTCTCCATAATACCCGCTCAACGATTCATTTTGTGTTCCTCCTACAAATAATCAAATGTACTATTTGATCATGATCAAATATTGGTAAATGAACAAGAAGCAAACTTAAATTGCATATGTTCAGAATAAAAAGTTTATATAATTGATCTGAAAAAAACATTAAAGGATGCAGCACAATTTATCAGGCAAACGATGAAACAGCACTACATCTTAAAAGAGGGGGTAAAATAATGAAATAAAAATTTCAACGGCAGAAAATCAAGGGATCTTTGGTCCAGAAAAAAATGTTATATTTTTAATTTTTACAAATACATGTACTATTAATGCCATGTAGTGTTGGACTCCTGCTACATTAGCCTAACTGAATTTTCATGTCCGCGTTTTCCAAAATAAAGACGGATTGTACTTTTTAGTTTATTATATAACTTAAAATATGCACAATTGACCCTGGCCAGGTCCCTATTATATTATAACGGTGTCAGCAATACTTTCAATTAAATTGTAGTGAACTATAAACTGTGATCCTTGTTAAAGAAATCTTGCTATTTTTGCACTTCTTCGTCTAAATAAAAGCGATTATCTTTTAACGACTTTTTCAGTAGCCCAAAGATGTAAAAACCGTAAGTCTATAAATCTGTATTATAGGAAGGATGTCTTAGGATGGATTATCCATTTCTTCGTTGTAAATTTTCTTTCACTACTCTGTTAAAGTGTGGCCAAGCATTGTGGTATAGGAGAATGACACCACGCGAAAACTTCTCCGGATGGTTTTATCTTACTGCTTGGTGGAGTTTGTTTAAAGTTTCATTATACAGATATGCGTTAATATGTACCCTAGGTTTTGCAATCTATGTGAGCAAAGGAAAAAAAATGTTAACAAGCTGGACCTTGTCTGTAGAATAATTCATTAATTGCTAGTGAAGTAATTATTACGTCACTAGCAATTATTGACGAAAGACAGTCATTACCATTTTGCTTGTATTTTGTAAGATTTTGCAAAGATAAACCCATTCGCAGGTTTTTTTGGTCCTTTGACAAAAGGCGTAGAATACATTGGGCACAAACTTTTCTATAACTTATAATCTGTAAATTTCTGTAAATATCTAAGAATGTGTACGATACTATGGACACATGGTATACTCACACCAACATTTTCTGAAATTGCTCTGATTAATATTCGACAATTTTGTCTAATCAAGCCTTCCACAAATGCTACGTTACTATCTGTTGATTCCGTACGCATTGCACCTGGTCACGGCTTTTTATCAGTCCCCACTTTTTATTTTCGACACCATTTTTTGACAGTTTGATAAGTAGAACATGCGTATACATACATTGCTTGTATTCGCGTATGAATTGGAATTGGTTGCAAACCTTTAGCACACAAAAATTGAATGACCGTTCGTTATTTTATTTGGACGGATTGTTAAAAAACCACAACATTTTTAGAACACATCATCATCATTATCATGAACCTGAAAGCGTCCACTGCTGGACATAGATCTTACTCAGCTCTTTCCATCTGTCTTGGTCTTGTGTGGCTTGCATCCAGTTAATGCTAACACGATTCAGGTCGTCCGTCCATCGAATTAAAGACCGATATTTATAAAGAACAAAGGGATTGGATAAATTTTTGTAAGAAATGTATCCACGTGTTGCTACGCCACTGGTAGCAATTAACTTACACGTCTTAAAATTTACTGAGGTAAATTTTACAGCAAATTCTCATGAAAGCCGATAATGTATTCAAAAGATATTTTTACTCACAGGTTAACTTCCTCCGACAATTCTCAAAATTTCCCTGTTATGAAGAATTCAAAAGGTGGGTTTTACCTACCTCTGTATAGAAATATCGAAGTTGCCCCCCGTCCTCCTCAAATCCCTTGGAAATAGTCAGACATTGCAGTCAGAATTTTAAGTAGTCAGTATAAAATTGTATCCCAGCTTAGCTGGTCGCTTCTTGTTTAGAGGTTTAGTTATTGTTACATATCATAGTTACAAGCTGAACGCTCATTCTTAATCAAGTATATTTATATTGAAGAAAACATCCATAGAAGTGATAATTATTAGTAACATTTTAATCTGTATCAGTGCTTGTGTAATGTGTCGTTAGTGTAAGGTGGACAGTAATCGGCGGTTTCGATAAAAGAACGTGCGCTTAGCTTGGTGCTTAGTTGTAGTAACATTCAATTATTAAACTACGTATTTATTAACTGATTTCCCACGTTAGTGGGTGGTCCTTCAAGTTGGAAGTAATTACATGACTTAAGCTCTAAATGGTAGCAAGATCGCCATCCTAATTTGTTGAATAAATGTCCGTTTAATTCTACCAGGGGTTTAGAAAAAGATTTAGTACCAGATATGCCTTCTTTGCTTTGAATGTAAAGTAGTCTCTATTTATATCCACTTCTTACATAACGATAATTTCCCTATAACGAAGAAAATGGTAAACGTTGTTTGGTTTGTCATAAGAACAATGTATTAATTCTTTTTCTATACCGATATCGTTCTCTCTTTATGGCGATGACTTTTCAGCGTTCAATAATCGATGGCAAACGTGTTATTGTTATTCTATAAAAAACGAATATGCCCTATGCATAACCGCTGTAATTTTGGCCTGGACCCTCAACTAAGAGCGAGAAGTATGTCAATAGCAACAAAGTGCAAACTTTATAAAACAATAATACGCCCAGTGCTCACATACGGATCGAAAACATAGGCAATGACGACCCGAGATGAAGAGTTACTATGAGTCTTTGAAAGAAAAGTATTGAGAACCATATATGGCGGAGTAAACGAACAGGGTCTGTGGAGAAGAACTCTATAGACTTTTTGATGATGCAGATATTGTGAAGACCATCAAAATAAACCGCCTAAGGTGGGTGGGCCACGTTATGCGGATAGATGAGAGTGATCCCACTAAAATAACTATGCTAAACAGGACGGTCGGAAGAAGAAGAAGGGGGCGACCTAAACTCAGATATCTGGACGATGTACAGGAAGATCTGAGGGAAATTGGAGTGAGGGGCTGGAGAAGACAGACAATCGATAGGGAAAGATGGAAGAATGTTTTGAAGCAGGCCAAGGCTCACGAAGGGCTGTAGCGCCAACTGATGATGATGATGAATGCGTTATTGTGTTTAAAGCCCCAACTACCTAAGTCGCGAATGGCAAGATAATTGTCCAGGGGTTGTTTCGTTTCGCGCTTGTGGAATGCGGCCACCCCTCCTACTCATTATTATCCAAGGGTTGATTGACACGCTTTTATTGTTCGCGGGGCGTGACTAACAGATTTAAGACGATTTAAGCGTGACACAGATGTTGTCATCTATTGACAACTTCTTAGTTCCAGTTGCAGTTGTGTCTTTCTCCTCCTCAGTCCTAATCTCTTTTGGGATGTGGTGACAGGCCTCTACAATTTTTTCATGATTTTCCTCCATTCTTCTCTGTCCTGCGATGGTTGTTCGGCTCCGTGTAACCCTGGTGTCTTAGGGCTCCAATATTAACGATAGCTGAGATCAAAGCTACGAAATAGAAACTTATATTGAACAAGACAGAGGTTCTTTTAACGGTCTTAAGATGATTCTCTGCAACTCACCTCTAAGTATCAATATACGCGTCAGAATTGTTAGATGTTACTTCTTTAGTCTCCTCCTATATGGAGTAGACAGCTAAGAGTGTTACAAAACATGCCATAATACGGTTAGATGTATTTTAATTGTGGCGTTACTGACGTATATTAGAGTCTCATATATTCTCTATTCTCTAGAGGTTAAGAAGACACAGAAATTATTAACACCATGAAAAAACAAAAAATTGGCATACTTCGGCCAATTATGCAATAATAAATACTGACTAGCGGGCCTAGAAGTAGACATACAACTTGGTATTTCTTGGCAAGGGGAGTTCTATCAATCTTAGAAAATAGATCTAACGTCAACTGATCTATTTCGAGCTGATGGGTCAATATAGCTAACATGACTAGAAGATATGAAAGTGAAAGGTCGGATAGGAAAGATAGCGAAGATATATCGACTGTAAAAAGAAAAGAGCTCGAATATTTGGGAAACCTTAGGAGAGAACACAAATACTTACATTAAAGGAACATTCTCGCCATATAAAAACATGGTGGATGCACCATTTGAGCGAATATTATTGTTAATTTTCTTGTAGTAGAATAGTAAATAAGTCAAATCTCTGATAGTAGCAGAACTCGAAAAAAAAAAATGAAATATTAAGATTTGCTAAAATGCACATTGTGACACCAATTTAGCAAAGCAACAGAGGATTCCGTCAGAATGACGAAGAACACAATCTATAAAGAATGGAAATATATATATATATATATATATATATATATATATATATATATATATATATATATATATATATATATATATATAATTAGTATAATGGTAAGGTTGATTGGGTTAGCAGCTGAATAATGAAAGCCAAAGTGTGTTCTTTTCAACGACTTCGCTATATTTCGTTAAATTTCTTTAACATCTTCAGACGAATGCTACAATATGTTACAAAATGGTGAAATTGTGTATTTTACATAAGATGTAGTGAAACATTAATTGTGTGAGGTTGCAGGCAAAAGTGGTATTTGAAAGTTCCATGTTGAAAAACTTTTTTGAAGATTTTTTATAGCAAAAAAAAGGAATATGTATTATTATAAATATATATATATATATATATATATATATATATATATATATATATATATATATATATATGCCGGTTTACAACGTCCTTCTCCGTTGTCCGACACCTAACTTCCATCCTCTTCTATCGTGGCAATCTTCCGTTGATAGATTCCGTTCGCTCATTGACTTTTTTATGTTTTGCTGCCACTCTGGTTTGGGTCTTCCTCGCTTTCTATTCCCTATTACGGTCCAGTTCAGTATTTTTTTGGGACATCTAGTATTTTGCATTCGCTCTACGTGTCCGTACTAGTTAAGTTGTTTCTTTTCGATATCCTGAATTATCGTACCCTCTATTCCCATTTGTTGTTTTATATGGTCATTCCTCATTCTTT